AAGACGTTTTTTTTTTTTTTTTTTTTTGAAAGAACGGGTCTATAGAAGTCCATCTGGTTATCGTACGAAACGCAAAAGTTTCCAAGATATAGGAAAAACACAATACAAAAAAAATATATATATATATATATACAATTAAAAAAGAACCGACCATCTACGTAAATTTAACTCCTTGACCAAAAATTAAAAAAAAAAACCAACTTTCTTCACATAAATCGCAGCAAAATAAAAAATAAAAAAAAAAATTCAGTCAAAATAAACGATTCCACACAACACTGGTGAAGTTTACTGAGAACGTAAAGGAAGCAAAAATAAACATAATGAGACAAGCAAAAAAACACGAAGTCTAAGACCGTCATCAACTAGTGACCGAGTTGCAAACACACTATTCGCTCGCTATGGAAATTTGCCAGCTGGACGAAAGGGGGTGGAGAGAAGTGCCGAAAGAGCCAAATTGAAGGCACGATTGGATGTACGTGACTATGGCGATCAATAAATTCGTTCCAATCCACTTGCCACTTATAGCTTTATGATCAACCGACTACCGTATTCTCGTATTGCCTTTTTTGTCCTGAATCTTAAAAGCACAATAGTTGGAATTACGCCAATCGTTACAATAAACTCGGGATTGCTTCTTGCTTAGTTTGAGTTACTGTTCAGAGCGTTAGCTCCTCCGAATAAAAGTTCAAGCTTTTGCTTGCTTATTTGATCATTCATTTTAAACGGTATCGCAGTATATCTTTAGTGGGGCTCTGATAAGCATAATAGGAACATTGTTACCTCACTTATTCAGGAATGGTTTCTTTATTTCTACATTGCAGGAAATAATTTTGTGGTCTTTTTTTGCTTGTTTTAACGGCAATGTCCGTTGGTAAAAGAAAGTCACGATTAAATGTTTCGACAAGAAAAAAAATTTACTGGCGAAAAGGTACAAAACTGGATGATGTTGAAAACAGTTTAGCTGCGGAACTTTATGACCAAAGAACTGGTACGTTGAAATGTACTTGGTCTTCTTAATAAAGCTAGAAACAACCAAGAAGTTTTTGTGAAAATTAACTGTTTAAAATTCAACTATTTTACGTGTTTTAAATTTCGTTTATGGCCTGCTTCTCGAAATCTTATTCAGCTTTGAGGTTTCTGATGTTCCTGACTTATGATTAATGAAAACGTTTTTGAAAGAATTATTTAAAATGATTTTAAAGGTGGAAGTATAGCTGATCGAAGTAACGAAGAACTCTTCTTCATCGACACAGTTCCAGATACCGAGAAGGTCAAATTCACTCGGAGACAACTGGCAACGTTGGGAAAAAGAGAGTTTTTAGAAAGGTTTCTTTTTAAATGTTTCTCCCACCTGCCTTTCGTTTCCAGTCTTCAACTTTTATGGAATTCTACTCTTTTTACTTCCTTCTCTTTACATGTGAACTTTTAAACAGTTTTTTTTCTTTAAGTTCATTTTAGTGTTAAAGGCGGAAGTAATGTGGAATTTAAGCCTTCGAAGAGATTGTTAAGGCGACTTTCAAAAGTTCATCAAAATAAGCGGCATCAACAGCGCAAACTTGATGGTGAAGCTGAAACGCCGGGTTTAAGCAAAGAGCTTCGAGATATATGGGAGGAAGGTAGGCATTTAATGTCTTTTTTCCAAGTTCATTGTTTACCATTTATAAATCCTTGTGTAAGTTTTTTTAAAGACTAACAGGCAGTAAAATTCTCTAGTTTATCTTTATTTTTGATATTAACTGTAGACTCTATATCGCTTTCATTCTTAATAGTTTAAGAAGAACAAGACACGACTTATAATGCTGGACAAGACTATTTTGAAAGGTCGACGAAAAAAAAGTTACCCAAAAGGCCGTCAACTCTCAATCACATCCCCAGTCTTCTGCCTTCCGTTGAACTCCCTCACGCTGCAATCTCATACAATCCTCATTCTGATGTTTACCAAGTATCTGCTTTTTAATATTATTGAATATTTTCTGTTGTGTAGCCTTACTGTAGTTTTCAAGTTTATTATAATAAATTTCTGGAACCCTCTTCGGCTGTTGGTTACTTGTGTATAATTTTTTAGTCTTATGTTAATGAGTTGGCGGAAGAAGAATTGGAGAGAGAGAGGAAAGAGACAAAGTTGAAGAAAAAGGTTTCTTTGGCTGAAGGAACAAGTTTTATTACTCCAGTATGTTTAACACTTGCCCTTTTTCAATTTTTGAAATAGATGACATCACTACTAATTTTAGGAAGAAAAGTTTCTTGAGGAAAGTGAAGGACTATTTAATTATGATTTTGAATTTGGCAGTGACAGCGAGACAAAAAAAGGTTTGTTTTTTATTTTTTATCAATCTCTAAAACTTCTTACATTTCTAGGCTACTTGAGCTAAAGTGGTGGTTTAGAACCACTTCAGCTGCCTATTCAAAATACTTACTTCTAAAACAGTATTAGAAAATCAATTCTTCCTTTCTTTTGATTTATTTTTTTTTTTGGTAGTGTGAGAATATACCAAACAAAATCAGATTTGACTATCCAGGTTTAGCGTGCAATTATTTTCCTTTCTTGTTTTCATTTGTCATTGAAACTGAGTAACATTCTGAACACATTCTTTGAGAAGT